ATACTGTGCACATTTTTGAAAGAAATGACTTTCAGATATTAATCTTTTAAAGTTTCGATTCTTTCTCTTACTTTTCTTTATCATGCTTGTTGTTTATGAAAGGTATTTGTATATAACCTTTAGGATAGCAGTAAGTCCTGAGGTATTTTATATATATTTTATATACCTGGTCACTTCCTAGAGCATCAGACTTGGCCTCTTCTCTGTAGCAGACACTATAATAAGGAGGAGCATCTGGATCTGGAGACTGCATCCATTGCTTCCCCTCTACTGAACAAAACTCTCTTCTCCTATCCTGCTGGGTGTGCCTTGCCCCACTCCTTCCATGCTCCTAGATTGTTTTTCCTGTCTCATGCCAGGCAACAGCAGGGAGCAGGGATTTACTGCCTGTCGAGCAAGAACTCCAAGTTGAAAAGGCTAGCTAGAAACTAGGCAATGTGGCTGGGGAATATAAGACTCTCTGCCTGCTTGGGTAGGGCCATATCATGTGTGCTTTAGGGGCATGGAGAGAGATAGCACGGGTTTGTTTCAAGAGAGGGGAGAACGTAGAGAGGGAAGTGAGCATTTCAAGAAGAGGGGAGATGCATAACCTTAGAATTCAAAGTGTGGGAATACTTCCCCTTAAGCTTATGACTCCCTTCTTTCCTCCTCCTATTCAGTCCTGCAGAGAAGTCCTAAATTGTATCAGTGACACCAGAGTCATTACCCCAAAAATGGACTGTGAAGTCATCAACAAAAGACAAATGAGCCTGCCTGATGTGGCAAAGTGAGAAGCTGAGCTAGGAGGAAGCTCTAATTCAAATACATGATCACAAGCTATGTGTGAATGACTACCACAGCCCTTACTGCTCAGCTGTGTGCAATCATCCCTGTAAGGATAATGGAGATTCTCTGTTAGTTCAATTGGTAGGGGTAGTCTGTGCTTTTGGGGAAGGAGGAATCTGAATTTGGTCCCCAAGATGTTTCAAGGGACCATGGTGTGCAGCACGTTGATAACAACTGACAGCTGTGACGTCCTGTTTGGCCATTGATTTTTTACCATAAAATAACAAACTTTGTAATACCAGTTCAAGGCATGTAGAAAAGGGCTGTCCAAGTAAATTTCCTGGTGTATGTTCTAATTTAATTGTAATTCAAAGGATTTCTTTACGTTCCAGCTACCGTTAAAGGTCATTAATTAGTGTTGTCATCTCTCATGACTTTATCAGAACTCTTGGGGTATCTTTTAAATATAAAGGGAGAAAAGAAAAAAAATGGTCTTATTTGTAAAATGGATACAGCAAAAATGCTTTGTGTTTTATTTTTTATTAAGATTTAATGATATGTTGCAAAAACTTATAGCAGTTCATGGATATTGTTTGGAAGCAAACTTTATAAATTAGAAAATAAAGTGCTTAATCTGCTTAACAAATCAGTTAAAAGTATAGGTTTTGTGAGTTTCACTTGGTTTGTGAAGTCTGCATAGGAGAAAATGTTGTTTGGTTAGAGGACTGGGTGTCAGGGTTTATGCAAACTGTATTGTGTGACATCAGGGTAATTATCTGACATCTCTGCATCAGTTTACCTGCTTGAAAAAAGTGTACAATAGAAATTGGTCAAATATTTTGGCCTCATGGATAGTCTGTCCACCCACTGAAGAATCCATCCCAAGGGCTTTTTCTCTAGGTAAACTGTAGTATTGCTGGGCTGGAACAAAATAGAATGTAACTTCGAAGATGCACATAGCTCTATTACAGAGCTTTTAAACTCACCAAGGATTGCAAAAATTGTTAGAGGCTATCTCAGTCTTCTAACCTCTATCTTTATCCATGGAAAAATATTGCCAGAAAAGCATGTTTACATTTTGGAACATGATTTTCAGAGAATTATGCATACTTAATACATACTGAAGTTAAGGACTGGCAGAGCACAATCTATCTTGGAAAATCTGGCTGATAACATTTTAAAATAAAGTATACAAAGTTGCTCAAATTTCACTGTCTTGCCTTTTCTGTTCTAATTTGTAGTGGTTTCCTACAGCCACCTATTGACTACTCTGCAGCCCAGAATAGCTGAAATGCAGAGTGCTCCCGGCATAAACACCCTCATGTCCCCAGCATGTTCTGATGCTGGAGGCTTCAGTTTGGAGTAGTATAGGGTTCCCTAAGCCATAGGGAATTTCCATGTGGAGTAGCATGAAGAGATTGGAACTTGACCCAAAATTGAAGCCGTAGAGTGCATTGCATTGTGATTACCCCATTAAATGATGAGTTTGAAACTTGACTGGCCACAAACTTTGGCTGCTGAATTTATCACCCTAAAATGGGCATACAGCAGAGTTATTGTCTATGGTTTGTTTGTAATAGCAATGGCCCCAATTATTAAATAGAAGTTAAATAAATATAAACACACATATTAAAGCAGTATCTTCTCTCATAACCCCAGAGCTGCTGTAAGCAAGCCTGATGCTTTAGATAAATGACACTGGACACAATGACAGGGTTTTATGAGATTAACACCCCTAATCCCTGGTTAGCTAAAAGTGATCATCTGTCGCTATGGATATTTACAGAAAGCTGCCACCTTAGGTCCAAGGCCTCAGGGAAGTAATGTAGCACTTTGCTTAAAAAAAAGAAAAAAGAAATGTGATCTCTTGTTCTCTAACTCACATGCCTTTTGTACTCGGATTAACTCTACCAGTTACTCTGGGTTTGTCTACACTTAAAGTGCTGCAGTGGTGCTGCTGTAGTGCTTCAGTGAAGAGGTTACCTATGACGATGGGAGGGCTTCTTCTGTCAAGATAGGTACTCCCTGAGAGGCAGAAGCTAGGTCAAAAGGAGCATTCTCCCATAAATCTAGGACTGTCTACACCAGGGGTTAAGTCAATTTAACTGTGACAGTCAGGGGTGTACATTTTTCACACCCCTGAGCACAGTAGTTATTGCTACACTAGGAAATTAGGTTGGTATGAAAGAACTTTGCCTGCTTTGAAGAGTATTAAAAGGGATTTGAAGACAACAATAGCTCAAGAAACATTATGTGATAAATGGGCTTTGAGTTGAGAGTGAGAGAATGGCAAATCTACCTTTAAATGACAGAGTGGACACTCTCTGAAAGTTGACAGACTTAGGCATCTTTAAAGAGATGTTAAATGTGAATAACTATCTTTGCAGTTTAAATCAATATAACTAGTTAAGAAAAGTCATATCCCAGAAACGTAATTCCCTTCTCCTACCGCTCACTTTACTCCCCTTCCGAGAGAGAGAGAGAGAGAGAAGAAATGTATTCAAATTCAACAAATACAAACGTAACTTGAATTCCAGTAAAGTGTCTAAAACCTTTTCATAACTGTGGGCTGCCTCAGAGGTCTAACCCAGTGAGTGCAAAATCCACTCGTGAAAAGTAGAACTGTTGTTGGAAGGGACAACAGAGAGTTTGTGAATCAGCTTCAGTTCTTTTGATTTTTTAAAGATAAAGAAGTTGATCCAATGCTTAAACAGTGGTGCCTGGGTTCGCATTCCAGATATCCAACCAGCCTGGAGTATGCTCCCGACAGAAAAGTCAGGAGGGGGAGAAACATTTGAGTTCAGTCACCCTTAACTGATCAATTCTGTACTTGTTGCAGAGTTGAAATTGGTACGGTGGATTTCAGGGGACATGTATATTTCAATCAGAGAGCTCAAAAAAGCATAATAAAAGTAAAGTGGCTAAATGATTATCTAAAATACTGCTGACATAGTTCAGCTGACAGAAGGTGAGCAGATTTAGTAGGATAACACACACATCTGTGTGCGTCGTGCCAACTTGATGTGGGGGCAGAAGTGATGATTTTGACAAATTGGATGGAGCGAAGATTATAGAGTTGTTTCAAATGTACTTCAAATCAATGACAGCCCATAATATCTATTAAAGACGCTAATATAAATTACGGTAAAAAAGTAAAGCAACGTAGAATTTCTGCATGACTACAAAAGTGAAAGTAAGGCTTTTCTATGGACATATACTGCTGATATTGAAAAAAAATCACTTGCTATTTTTCTATTTTTAACTCATGTTTCTGGTGGTCAGAGGTCAGTAAAGGAAGGACTTATTTACAATAATAATTATTAATGTGGATTCTGTCAATTAAGTCTGTAGATGAAGAATTTGAATAACATGACCACCAGTTTAGCTGCATGATTTGACATATGAGCTTTGCTGTTTAAAAAGGAAATTATGTACATGAAGATAGTATGTTAGGGATCGATCCTGCAAGTTGATAAGCACCTTTGTACCAGGTGCCAAAAACCATCACCTCTCACTGACTTTGCTCATATAGCACTTTGGAAGAGATTTGTAGAAACTTATAGAATCAGACCTTACTGCATATCTTGAAAATGCCTAAATATAAGTCTAACTGCTCTAAGGTAATACTAGGGGAGACTAAAAATGGAAAAAACACTTTTGACAAATCTTGACACTTCTCAACTATTTCCATTTCACAGGTTTCAAAAACTGACCCATTTTCTGACCTTGCTTAAAAGTGCCATTGATCTTTTTATTAATGTACTAATTGACAGTTTTGTCAAAATTCTGTTGGAAATCATTATCGAACGTCTTTGCTTACTGAAAATTGTGGTTTCGGTAAACAAATATGTTCTCATACGCAATTTTCATTAAAATAATTATTAAACATCTATAAAATTGTCATGGGTTTTTTCTGAAAAACAAAAAATTTCTATGATAAATGTTTGTGAAAAGTTTGACAAAGATAAATATTTTTGTCAGAAAAACGGTTCTGTGCAAAAATATATGACAAGCTCTAAATAGTACCTTGAGTATGAATAATGCTATTTATAAGTTATGTATTTATCTTACAGTTAGAAAACAACATGCCCATCATAACATCTAGATGCTTGTGCATTTAATTAAAAATGCACACAAATTAAGGGGTATCTTAGCTGACATAGGTAAAAATCAAACACTGTTGTATAATATGTAATATCCAGAATAATTATATATGTATGCTTTTCCCCCCCCAGCACCACTAACAGATAAACCACCAAAGCTTTTGCACCCTTTGGAAAGTAAGCTGATGATTCAGGAGACCCAGCTAGGTAAGTAGCAATCATGTCATGCTGTTCAGTAAATTGTGCTGATGTCATCCTTTGTATTAATGCTTGATGATGATATTAAAGTTTACCCTGAAAGACCTGGAAGAACATTAGTGTCTTGCCACCACTATTCCTGGGTTCAATAAAAAATGTTTTGCACAATTGCCATAAGAATATTATTATAATTAAATATTGGTTAATGAACACTTACAAAATATGTATTACAAGATCCTCAATGTATGGACAATGTTAGCTGAGTTTGGTGTATCGTCCTAATATTGATCTCTGAGTCACAGGGATGTAAATCATATATATGTACTTTTACTTTTACAATGTGTTTATCTAATATACATATTTATGATTCAGTGAGTAATTAAGATTCAGTGTAAAATTATTCCAAATTGCTCTGCAAGACTTCTTTTGCTTTGGGGTTTAACTATAATTCCACAATGACATTTTGTAATTATAAATACTTGTGATGCCCACAAATCAGCCAACAGACAGTGAGACGTTAATATAAAAGTGTCTGGTTATTCTAATTTACCACTATTTCAGAGGGTTTGGAAAGAGTTATCTTACCCAGGACAATGTAGAGGAATTCATCAGTGGAGTGAGCATCTTTCTCCATTTCTCAGTCTGACTAGTGTGGGTGTTGGGATGTAACATGCAGTTTAGAATTATGGTGTGTGTTGTCTAAATGCAAACAAATTGTCTAATGGGTTGACAAATGTTCTAGCATTTCATCTATGGAAACAAAAGGAATTGAGTTTGGTGGTTTAGCCTGGATAAGTAGCAGACATTTGTTGACAAAAAAAAAAAAAAAGCACTGAATAATGTTAAGGAGATACTGTTGCGTAGAGATCTAAAATAGGAGAAGTAGAAGTCTTGCAAATTAGGACTGAAGTTCAGTGGCAGAGAGTTATGTACTGTGCCTGTCCATGCTATGCCTGACGCTAGCAGTATTTAGTGCTCCTTCATTTTAATAAATGTAAAAACGGTGAGATTGGAAATAGTTGGGTCAGGGATTTTAAGGTGTTGAAATACATGCACATGCACCCCTGCAGTTGTAATGCAATTCCTTGAAGTATTGATTTCTGGAGGCATTGCTTTTATGCATAATGTCACACAAGTACCCATGAGTATATGATATTGTGGATGGTTCTTCTCTCAGTCCCATGAAAAGCCAGGGCAGTATAGTTCAAAATAACTCTGCGAAATTGCCTTCTTGACTAATGTTGCTTTCATAAATATCATCGGGGGGAAAATTGATTTTTTTTTTTGCCTTTTGTCGCTCTCTTTGCTAAATGTACTATATTGGTGAGATTAATTCAAAAAGAGTGTAATTATTAATGGCTAGCTAGTGGCTTTTTGTCTCTGATTTTTAGGATTAATCATATCTTTGATTTCTCAAAGTTCTAAGAAATAGAATAAATAATTTGTGAAGTGCCTGGTTATGGAAAAGGCATTTTTCAAAAGAATAAATAGTTGCGGATGAAAGTGAAAGGATTAACTTGAAAATGTCAATTTCACATACAAATTGGAAGGACTGACCATAAATTAATCTGAAGTGATAATGGCTTGGCTTGTCTAACCAGCCTACAGGAAGTATATTAATTAATTATTTAAGTATCTATACAAAAAGCATGTGAGTGCCAGGGTAAGGGTGCAATTGTGAGATTGAAACTATGTTGAATAAAGAAAAGGAGGACTTGTGGCACCTTAGAGACTAACAAATTTATTCGAGCATAAGCTTTTGTGAGCTACAGCTCACTTCATGAAAGCTTATGCTCAAATAAATTGGTTAGTCTCTAAGGTGCCACAAGTCCTCCTTTCCTTTTTGTGGATACAGACTAACACGGCTGCTACTCTGTGTTGAATAACTATCTTCAAACTGAAGGTCCTTATCCTGCTAAAGTTTAGCATTTTTTTACTTAAGTCACATTAGTAGTCTCATTGACTTCAGTGAGACAATTCACATGTTTAAAATTAAGTAAATACATTACGCATTGGCAGGATTCCACCTTAAAAATTCTGCCACTTATCCATTTGACTCCTGTATCACAGAGAGATTGAAGCAGCTGACATTCAAGTCTGAATGTCAGAGTCTCTTCCCATGCTGAGAACCCCAGTAGAAATTAATATTGTAGAGCTACAGACTGTCTTAGGAGAAGCATAGATAGTGGTCGGTTTTCTTTCACTTAAAGAAAAAGATGAGTGAGATGTTTTTAGAGGCAACTGTAAAGGTTGGAGCAAAAACATTATTTTTTAGGCTGGCCATGTGAAAATATTCCTCCTTCCAATTTCTATGAGTCAAGCATTTGTAATTCCCCTCTATGCTGGATTTATCAGCACGACTGATCTTCTGCTTGCACCTTGTTCAGAATGCAGCTGCACATTTCCTCATGGATTTGAGCTACCATGATTATATTCAGCTCGCTTTGCGTTCTTTGCATTGGTTGCGTATTAATGGTGAATTCAGTTTAAATTAGCCTTTAATTTGGTTTTAAAAAGTTCTGAATAGGACTGGCCCTGGTTGTATTCAAGACCTCCTCCTTGAGCCCTCACCATATGGGTTTTTGCACTCACATACCACCTTGTGCTTAAGGGATTCTGCCATTGCCTCTGAAAGTCAGTAAGCAGTGGAGCTTTGGATGTGGTAGCCCCTATCATGTGGAATGCCATCCCTCCTGAAATCTGTTTCATTTCTTTTCTCTCCACCTTTGTTTCAGAGGTGTTATATTTTTTAAATTACTATCACAATTGCTGTTCAGTTGTTCTGTTCCTATTGTTTTTTTCTTTACCCATGTTGTTTGTAATTTTATAGAGGTTGACATGTTCTTTTTATTAGTTAATGGGAAATAGCTTTTATGATACTTGTTCAGAACCCTGAGCACTTATGAGTGGGAGAGGTGCTTTTTAAATAGATTATTTTGTATCATTGCTATTGTGTTTTAGAATAGGAAAGTGAACATGAATTCGTCTATTAAACTCATATTAGGTTTTTGAGACTGCATTATTTAATTAAAATTCGTAGACAAAAAAAACCCCATTGCCCCACAATAAATTTCCACACACCTCTAGGAAATCAGGATTGATTTCCCAAACACTCCTGTCAGCTCATAACTTCCTGAATTCACTGAAATTATCTGTAATACAAACAAAATCCTAGGGTTTTAGATTACAATGGATTTTTTTTAACATTCTAGATAACTTTAAATGTTGTCATACTCTGATTTCTATCCCAAATAATTCAAGCATGCTAAATTGAAAGTCTAGTGCCTGGTGAAATTAAAAATGAAAAGCAAAATCCTACTATAAGACTCAGATCCTAAATTTAACCTGTTCCTCTGTCAATAATAGCTTACAATATTAGCTGGCATTTTAAAATAATTGTCTTTTCTTTTTTTTCTCTTATTCTTTAAATAAACAGGTGTCCCTGTAATGCCTGGTTTTATTCTGAATATAGTGCTCTCCTCCAGAACAGTAGAGAACAGATGTGTTCACAGTAGACAATTTGTTAAGAATTGGCAAAAACAGCTCATAAAAAAAGATTGAAACATCAGCCACAATTTTGAATAAAAAATGAACTGACACACTTTTAAGGACAGAAAAAGTTAGGTTGATTTTTTTCCTTGTTTTGGTGTTGTTTTTTCTTCTCCCACATTATCCATTTGGTGGTCTTACCCAGAACTGTAAGTTGAAGTGCCAAAATTCTGCAAAAAAAGGCTACACTTGCAGTATTATCAGACACATTGAAAGCAGGAAATAGTCAAAAAAGTATTGATGAAAGAACTTGTTCTTGCATGATTTCCAGCACTCTCTGAACAACCAAAAAGTTTTCGATAACTGTTTGGGTAAGAAGCCACATTTTTCTTCCTTTATCTGAACTAATCTTTTGATTAGTCCATCAGTAAAAATTACTTCTATATTCCAACAAACACACTGTTTATTCTCCCCTGGTGGTCTGCAAAGTATTTTTTTCCTATAAAACTGAATTAATTACTGTATGGTGAATAGGGGCTCTCTTTTTTTCTTTTCCTTTTCTTTTAAAACACAAAAAAGATACTAACACTGTTTCGAACACATTGTTTCTAAAAGAGAGATATAAACAATTCCCAAAGGTCAAGCTTCAGGGGAAGGAGATTAATGGTCCATTTATATCACAATGCATTTTATTAAATCTTCCACAGAAATTGGCCTTGTTAATGAGAAAAGTACTTAACTAGTCTAATCAGAAATTATATAAACAAACACAAAAATAAAAAGAATTAACTAGCACTCTGTGTGCCTGTGTTCTAGTACTCAGTTAAAATGAATGAAAACAATTTTCATGCAATGCATCTGAATGACATACCAATGCTGTTAAAAGAACAAAATCATCATCATTTTAATATATATTTAAAAGTTACCTTTTATTTAATAGCACTCAATATTATTAAAACGGAAGCAATTTTTAAAGATACCCATTTTCATAGTAGTTCAATGCTAGCAGCACTCTGCTGTTTGAGGTGGGTTCAGAAATGAGGGGTTCAGGGTGCAGGAAGGGGCTCAGGGATTCACAGTGCAGGAGGAGGATCTGGGCTGGGGCGGGGGGCTGGGATGTGGGGGATGTGAGGGCTCTGGCTGGGGGTGCACACTCTGGGGTGGGGCTGAGAGGTTTGGGGTGTAGGAGGGTGCTCAGGGCTGGGACTGAGAGAGGTTTGGACAGTGGGAGGGGAATCAGGGCTGAGACGGGGTTGGCACGGCAGGTGAGGGCTCTGGCTGAGGGTGCAGGCTCTGGGGTGGGACTGGGGATTAGGGGTTTGGGTGAAGGAGGGTGCTCTGGGCTGGGACCAAGGGGTTCATAGAGTGGGAGGGGGATCAAAGCTGGGGCAGAGGATTTGGGGCACGGGATGGGGTCAGAGGTGCAAGCTCCAGGCAGCACTTACCTCAGTCAACTCCCAGAAGCAGCGGCATGTCCCCTGTCTGGCTCCTATGCGAAGGCACAGGCAGGCGGTTCTGTG